CGGGCTGCATGTCTTGAAGACGCGTTCACGTTCAGTAGTGTCGGGCATGCGCACTGCTGCTTAAATATACACTGACAGCCACTCTTTTGCAGAAGTCGTTTGACCTGTCCCGTTTGAAAGTCTATTTATATGGGCCTACTTATGCATTATTTAGAGAATGCAATCATTTTTTACAATCCTCGTGAATTTCTGCCTATGACCATGAAGAAGTTGCATTACAGACCCAGATAAGCTGTTTTCTCCCTGTCTTGTTATGATGCCTTTTGCAAAGGACAGGAAGTACCCTTGCAAGGACAACAACCGATCTCTTTGTTAGGAAGTCAAAACAGCGACCAAACTACAGCCACCCAACACATGACAGTTGTTATTGATAATTAAATTGTGCAATAAAAGATGTCTCCCAGAGTAACCCTGGGGTAAAATGTTATTCAGCTCATGTCCCTGTGAAGTACAGCTGATGTTTCCCAAAAACTCCTTTTAGAAAACATGATTTTTACTTTATTAGGGAAGCATTATTAAATTAATATGCATTTAAAGTATAATTATTTTAAATATGTTAAAAGATGTCTATTCTATCTTTTTATTGTGCGGGTCTCGTGTGCAAAGTTGTAATCCATTTCAGTGTTAATCACAACAAACGTATTCAAAAGTATTTATCCTAGAATGTATTTTCACCTATTTTCATATTAAAGTCATACAATTTGATTTATTATATTTTTATGTTATTAATACATCCAAACCAAAGTTGTGTGTAATTGTGAAGTGGAAACTGCTGCCATCAACACCTTTGTTTATAGATGGTGGAAATAGACCTGTTTTTCCAGTCTAGTCCTGTTTCTCTGACTGTGACCGGCTGGATGTGCTTCATCCTCTGACATGGGACCTGGCTCAGAGCTTGTCTGCCTATCTGTGTGTTTCCTGGACGGGGCCGCCTCTTACAGTTGCTTTTTGTATCTCTGCTTCTGTCTCCTTGAACCCCAGTCGGCCTCAGCAGATGGCTGCTAACACTGAGCCTGGTTCTGCTGGAGGTTTCTTCCTGTTAAAAGGGAGTTTTTCCTCTCCACTGTCACTACAAGCATGCTTAGTGTGAGGCATTGCATTCGAGTCAATCAGTCAATGCAATCAACTGTTTTTCCTTAGATAGAAAACTTTGAATCAATTTAACTGTATGATCTGGTGAACTGTAAAGTGCCTTGAGATGACGTGTTGTGAATTGGTGCTATAGAAATAAACTGAATTGAATTTAAATGAAAAGAATAAATTGTTTTTTGTTACAAATGACATCTAAAAAAATCACTTATTTACATTTAATTTGAATAAAGGCTAAAGGTGTTGTCTCATCTGATTTTACAAAACATTTTCTGCCATATCTTTAGATCTTGACTTTGACCAGGCTATTCCTACACACAGGCTTGCTTGGATCTGAGCCATCCCGTTGTTAGTCTGTTTATATGTTTAAATGGTGATTGATCTCCTGGAAGGTGAACCTCTGCTCTCGTCTCCTGCAAAGTACAGCAGCTTTCTTCCAGGATTGCCTCCAGCAGCTAAATCAGACCTCTCTTCTGTTACCATGTCCACTATCACTGCCCAAAAAAGACACTCTAAGACAAAGGTGCTGCCATCACTATGTCCTAGGTTGATGTGCAAACCAATCAGATCTATGCACAATTCCACTACCTGAACTTAAGGAAGCTCTCTTGTTTCCTGTCTTTTTCTGCTGGATGAACTGATCATTCCAGGTGTGCCTGACCTCAATAACCATGGTCAGACACATTAATCAATCAGTTCATGTAATCATTCAGTGTAATGAAAGGCAGGAAACGAAAGAGCTGCCTTAAGTTCAGGAAGTAGTGGAGTCGTGCATAAAGGCCATTAATATCCACAACTTTGTGTTGGACTATCACTCAAAATCTCAACAAATCATAATTTTGTGGTTGTAAAATGGCGAAACGTGAAAAAGGTCCAACTCTCCCAGTACATTCAAATAGTATGCTTTTATTATAGTATTAAATATAATTTAATTCAGGATAGGACAGATGATATTGCTATTACGTCCAGCAAATCAATAAATCAATAAAAAACACATTATTAGGATGATCGTGGTCCAGTGCTGCATCTTGTTTATATCTAAATATGTTTATACCTTCAGGTCCCAGTCATATCCGTTTAGATAAAACAAAAAACTTGGTTAAATGTAATAAACCAATAAACAGTCATGAAATTGGGGTTAAAAAATTAAAGATAGAAAGCTATTCTTCTTTGTTAACATTTAAATCAGTGACGTTCAATGTCTTTGTTCAGGTTAAAATCAGACACGCCTTAAAAATGTAAACCTCTCGGTATAGAAAGGGAAGAGATGTCAATCGATGGCCAGGGTTTGGAGGGCATATGTAAAAGATTGGAGTAGCTAAGAGTTTAGAACTGCGGAGAGAGAAGCAGATGGTGTAAAGCCAACAAGCCTTTAGGTCGTAGCTTAAGAAGGTTTATGTTTATCCAATTGTCCCAATCCCACACATGTGATACAGCACTGCTCTAACCTAGCCAACCTCTGTTTCTTCCCACTCAACTCTTTTTTAGTGCACTTCTATACAGAAACAAATGTGATAACATTTTAAAAAATAAAGATTTGTAGTTTCACTTAATATATTTGTATCTGTTCTTGCATGAAAGGCACACCAGATGAGGACCGCCCAGCATCTTATTGATAGTTTTAAAGAAATGGAGAATTATCGATTTCCAATCTTGTTAAACAGATGATAAATCACACTCCTGAAAACCCCAAACTAACCAACTGCGTCGCACTGTAAAAAAAGTATTAAAGTGTTTACACTGTGCACAAAACATTGGATTCAACAGACAGGCAGCAAACCCCCATGATACCAAAATTATCAAAAAACAATGTGCAATATGAGATTTAGTCACATGTTTTGTATATTCATTTTGATCATCATTTCATGGTTGAATTAAATTCTATTGTTTACGTACTGTTAATGACTTAAGAATATGCAGTTTTCTATTCTTTAGAAAATATAAGTGTATCATTTTAATTCTTTTGCTTGAGAAGGAAAACCAAGAAAGCCAATATTTTCCAAGTGACATACGCATCTAATATTTTGTAGTAATATGTAATGTTACAATTAGTTGAATTGTGTAAATACTCGGTTGTTATGTTGTTCTTTTTATTAGTCTTTTCATCCTCATTGTTATGGCAACGGTGGTTGGAATCAAACTCCAAACAGATTCCAAAGTCCTTGTAAAATCCATGTGCTTTGAATCATGCCTGAATTATTAGCTTGTCTTATTTGTAGAAATATACCCTCCTCTGAGCCACATGTTCCATGTGACAAACATTAGCCATAGTAAGGAAACTCAGTAAACACAACGTATCTTGTAGATATGTGAACGTTTTTAATTTCTAATCCAGTGCAGACCTTTAAATTTTTAAGAGCATAGGATTTAGGTTTGCCAACTGTCCCTTAGAAATCAACTGTCTCATGTGTAGAACAATTTGGGTTATGATTAAACATTTATAAAATCAAACTAAATTTGTAATGTTGGGGTGGAAGACAATGCCTGGCCAAAAGGTGTCCCTTATTTAAAGTTGGCAACTGTAGTTGCAATTGTTAAAAACTATGTGATAAGAGAATAACAGGAGTTCTCTTATGTTATTTTTTATTTATTTACTGTGCCTTGGAAAAGCATTCATACTCTGAACATTGTCAGATTTATTTACAAAAAGAAAAACAAACTATTAATTAAAATCTTAAAATTAAATGTATATCTAAATAATGTGAATTTTAAAAAATTATGTCATAAATAATTTTCTAATAATAATTTTCTAATTAACCCTTACTCTGATGCAGAAGAGGATTAGGGCTACTGAAAAAAAAAGTTTACTGATTTTAAAATTTTATTTTAGTATAATATGAGAAAAAAGTCAGAATTCTAACTTTAATCTAAGAATTCTGACTTTAATCTCAGTATTCTGACTTTTTTTCTCAAAATTATGACTTTTTTCTCAGAATTTTGGATCTTCATGTAGATGGGCACCATGAAGAGATGTGGGAGCACTCAGCTTCACTGAAAAAGATGTGAGTTGTTTGGGAGGGCCAGTAACACACTAGTGAAAAATGACGAAATTGGGCAACTTTTTACGTGCCTGAGGGGTCCCCGGTGATACTTTTTCATTAATGGAGGAGCAGAAGGTCAGAGATTAAAGTCAGAATCCTGAGATTAAAGTCAGAATTCTGACTTTATTCTCATATTAAACTGAAATAATATTAAAAAAACAGTTAACTCTTTTTTTTATTTTTTCAGTGACCCTAATCCTCTTCTGTATTCATCAGAGGTCCCCTTGTTAGAAATTAGTGTATATTATGTGTTTCTTATTTAGACTTGTTATAGAAAGAACACTTATTATCAACATCACCATCATAAAGACCTACATTATACTAAACTGGTAATGGAGAAGACACTGTCCCCATTGTGAAACATGGTAGTGGTAGCATTATGCTGTGGAGGGCAGTTTTCATCGGCAGAAATTAGGATGCTAGTCTGAATCGGTGACCAAAAGGTGGCACCACTAGCTTTAAGTTCTTGATAGGTAACTATTTTTCCTTCCTCTTACATTTCAACAGGCATTACTAAAGTGTGTGAGTAGCAAAACCGAAGGCGTACTAAGTTCTCATTTTTGTTTCAGTCATCCCAATCAAATAAAAATTCTCTTTCAGTTTCCTCTCTGACCAAAACATAAGTGACCCAGGATTCCAGCGCTGTATTTTAATAGGTGCCCTCCTTGACGATCAATTCAGAACCATAGCCTTTGGTCTCAGCATTGAGACTGAAAGACGCTGTCATCCACTGGCGTGGCTCTATTGTGTCTGTGAAAGACCTAAGTGCCACTCTGGGTATTGTTTCGATTGAAGGGGAGTAAGGTTACCATGGAAACCATAGGATGCCCTCTCATAGGCTATGGGATAGAGAAAAGGCAGGGCCAACGAAGAGGAGAAACAGAGTAAAAAGAAAATAAAAAAAAGTAGATTCCCAGGCTCAAATTAGTTTCTGTTCTTTTTTTCTCTCCCACATTTGTGTGTTTTGTGCCAAAAGGATCTCCAGTGGGTTCAGACAAAGATTCTGGGAGGTGAGGATGTCTGTGTTTGCGTTTTTGTGTGAGTGTTTTTACTGTCTGCCTCTTGGCTTGGTTTAGAGACAGAGTTGCTGAGATATTTCCGTTTCTGTCTCATGGGCTGGTGACAGCGCTTTTGTTTGTGTTTAGCATCTCTGTCATTCAACTCAACATGCTGGAAAACAAAGAGAGAAAACTGCTTGCTTAAAGTGGCTCTGATTACTGTTCCTGCTATCCTTTGTCCTCAAACCGTAGTTAAGCACTTCATGGAAAAAGTGACCAGTTAGGTGCAGAAATGGAAAAAACACAACTTAAAAGTCTGATGAAAATTAAACTGTGTGAACCCAAAGGGAGGATTGTGACTCTGCCTCAAAATATTGAACGTTCAGCATGATGAGTTCAAAGTTTTTTGTTTTTTTTTCATGTTATTGCTTTGACAGAAAGATCTTGAATGCTGATGATAGAACACAATGCGTGTTGCGCTGCGGCCTCGTAGGTAAGCCACAGTTTCATTGTTTCAACAGCGTTTATAAAAAAAAATCTTAAATAACATACAAGAGATGATTTTCTTCATATCAACCAGCCTTTATTGATCTTACAAGATGAGAATATCATAGAACCTCCTGACATTTATTCATATATGTTTCCTTATAATGCTGTTCTGCAACACACAGGATACACTATTTTCTAATTTCCCTTGTTTATAAGATATAACAGGAGCTCTGCACATGTCCAGGTGTTTTTCACCTTTAGATTAGCCTGCTTGAATCTTGTAATACTTTCCTAGAAACACCAAAAACAAGACCTTGAACATAACACTAAGTTTTATCCTTATTTGTGGCCTTAACTTTGCAATACGGCTAAAAACTCCTTATGACCAAACAGATTTCTATGACATCTACCTCACACAAACAGAATAAGAAGGTACAATGCGCTTTTTATTTCATTTGCATATGGCTTCCAAGGAGAAGGGTAAAACGTATCTTCTGGTAGAATTGTGCAAAATATAATAAAAAAGAAACTTTATTACAGAAAACTGTTTTTATCTTGAATAACAGAATATTAAAAAGAAACAACTTTATATTTCACAAATGGCTAACTTATTTCCCTGTGCATAATAGGAGTATTTGTATCTCTTAAACAGTTCACAGCAAAACACGCTTCCTTATTTTGGATTTTTTGTAGTTTGTTTAGGTGTCCAGAGCAATATATCTTTAATAAATGTTAGTAAGTGTGTGCATGTTGCTAAATAAATACAAGATTATATTCATTGTTATTCAGGTTATTCATACGGTGCCAGTTCTCAACATATCTAAAGGCACTTGAAAAAGCCAGTTTAATGAAATCATACAAATAAATTGGTTAAAATTGTCCTACCTAAGAAAACCCAGAAGATTGTATTGAGTCATTGGCTTGTGACAGTGGACAGTCGCTGGCATTTACAGCAACCCGTCACACAGAGAATGAATGAAGCGACTGTGGGAAAGAAAAACTCCCAGTTAATACGAGGAAATATCCAGCAGAGCCACATTCA